CAGGGAGGACAGGAGCTGGCAGCTTTAAGCTATGAAGAAATCAGTAACCTTGTGGGTGGTGCCACAGGTGAAAGGGCAGGGGTCACGGAGGAAAGTTAGTACAACTGTCGTGATTGGGCCTGCCAAGGGGGAAGTCCGTGGCATTCTTCCAAGCAGTTCGGATACCCTTCCAGAAAGTATGGTCTGTTCCTCTTCTGTTTTGAGTTCTAACAGTAGTTTAGTGTTTTCTTGTGCTGGGATGGATCAGTTGGCATACAAATAGCATTCTTCTCCTAGGAAGGCACAGCTGTCCCCTTTGTTCAGCAGTCATGGAGTCCTCTTTGATTTTGGAGAAGCACTGTGGACACAAAACCTTTTTGATTTGCGAGGGTTATGCTTTGTTTTGCAGGCCAGGACTTTCTTGGTCTGATTGGTGAGTTGGCTGAGATGTACCTGTTGGCACCCCTACAGCTGCTGCAGGATCACGGCCACTGGCAGGGCTTACATGGAGTCTTTGGGTACAGAAGGAAGTTCAGAGGATAAGACAGGGTAAAAAAATGTGAGCGTGACAATAAGAAGGAGACGGAGCACGAGCAAGGAACTCAGGACCGCGAGGGGTGCACCCACACACTGAGACAATGGGGATGTTCTATCGGGAACTCACCAAGGCCAGCTGGCCTAGGTCTGAAAAAGCATGGGATAAATCCGGACTAGCTGAACATAGCGGACAATGAGGAATACTGAAAACTCAAGAACAATCGCAGTGGGTTTTTGATCCTACTGCACATACTGGTTTGGGGGGAGCCTAGGCAGTTTGGATGCTCACCTTACAAGACCTGAATAGAGGTGGGCGGTCCTTGGGCTTTCCACAGGTCAGGGAACCCTGATTGCTCTTCGAGCAGATAAGGGAGGGGGACTTGATCGGGGGAGGGGGAGGGAAATGGGAAGCGGTTGCAGGGAGGAGGCAGAAATCCTTAATAAATAAATAAATTAAAAAAAAATAAGAAGGAAAGGGGTGATCATCAGAGGAGCCAAAGTGGGAGGAACCTGAAGTCCATACATAGGAAGAGGCTTGGGATTGGATTTTTTTTTCTGGTCCCTATGTCTTTGGGTCCCATCTCAAACCAGTTAGGATTTGTTGGTGCAGAAGCAGCATTGTTCTAGGAGGAGAGCATGGATCCCATACTTGGTAATAGTAAGATCTAGAAGTGGACTACTTTGGCAGCTAAAGAATCAAGTTGGTCCTAAAGGATGTTAAGCTGACCCGAAGTCCAGCTGCTTTAGTTCTGAGCCCTGAAGAAAATATCCAGAGTGGCACAAAGAGAAATGAGTAGCATGGGGTGAGATCCTTCTTCAGAGGCCACCCAAACTGCTTCATAAGTTTAGGGCGCAGATTTCTCTCAGAGCTGACAAAAGAGACGATGTAGAAAGGGCAGCAGTTAGGAGCCTCAGAAGAGGGTCCGTCAATCATCAGAGGGCCAGTAGGTAGTAACTGTACAACCCAATCAGAAATATTATGAGAGAAAATTAGTGTAGTAAGGTTCAACGCAATTGTACCACTGGTTAGAGTAGGCCATGTACCAGGGTTCTGTAGAAGGACATCCTAACTGTAATGAGCCATTTGTAGCATAAGGCTCCTGCATAAGGAGTGTCTGGAAACCTTGCACGAGAAGTTGGTTAAACTCAGCATCGAATTGGCAGTTTAAAAGAGAAATAGAATCTCATTGAGACATTTTTAAAGAATTGTCTAGGAAACTTTTTAAAGGCTACACTTGGATTTTTTGAATAAATACTCCAAACTCTAAGTTTAATGACAGAGTATCTGGCAGCCTGCTCTAAGCACAGAACATGGGTGGCTAGGATATGGAGTGTGGAGTTAACTTTTGTTAAGAAGAAGAACTAAAGCCAAGGGAAAGGGACTGACCAACTGACCTAGTATGCAGGACCTATTATCAGTCAGGTGGTAGGCTTAGGTCCAAGTTGCCCATGGTCCCACCATCCTCATATGTCAGTTTGGGACACAGGGAGGGCAAAAGAATTACTTGTTGCCTCTCTGTTGTTTAAACATTTAGAGTGTGGGTATAGGCTCTAAGATCATCCATATGTTAAGACATGAAGAGTAATTCATCGTTCCTATTGATAAGGAAGAGTTGTTTATTTTGCTTTATTGATTTTTGTTTTTATTTCTGGTTTGGCTTATATAGTCAGAGCTGGTCAGGCCTACACAGCCAGAGACAGGAGTAGCAGACTTCTGGGTATGGGTGGGTCTTATTTCCACGTCCATCCTTACTCTGTAATGAGGTCAGCATGCAAAGGAACATGACACACTGTAGTAAATTAAGATTACCTGTACATGAATTCTAACAATCAACTTTTTTGTTGTAGGTTTTTAAGTTAACAAGAACCAAAAAGGTAGAAGGGAGATTTCAGAGAGTTAGGCACCCATAATTACATTTATGGGTCACTTTTACTTTTATACACACATTTCTCTTGATCAAAAAAAAATTAAATACCATGAGACATAACAGTAATAAATGAACTCATTAGGATTAGGCAGTATTTAGGTCCTTTAGTCAGTATATATAAAAATTTCTATTTATATCAGTAGATCTGTTTTGATTTTTAGATCTTAGCCCAGACACCCAGAGAACCTTGAGGTCTCATATAACTTGGGCCTAATCACATGCAATTAGCTGAGGGGAGTGAATGGATATTTGAGAAAGGTTCGCTGGTGACCTTGTCTATTCCTCCTTATTTAAAGGAAAACAAACATGTAACAAGTTTAGCAGTAATTATTTTAAGCAGGCATAGTTGAAGTTCTGAAGATGGCTATTGCTCTGTTTAGAAGATATTGTGCAACATCACGTTACTACATACGTGAGTGATGCATTGAACCAATATTACCTGTAAATGTATTGTTAAACCACTAGACCCTGTAAGTTTTCAGGTAAACCTTATAGAAAAGATAAGGCAGCCTTATAACGTATGGAGTATGTAATTTCTTTTATTAAAATCAATATTAAATTCATATTTACATCACCTGACAGAATTTAGCTAAGGGAGCCCTGTTGAAACTATGATGCTGGAGTTATGATAGAGAGACTTTAAACACATGGTTCTTTGGATCAAGGAAGCTTCTTTGGGCAGCACACAGAGACCATTATAGAAATCCACAGCTGATCACAATGCAGAGAACAGCTGACTTTGGGGTACTCATCCCCAGAAGGCACATCTATAACACACCTTGTAATGGCTTGTTTCCTTATGTCCCTCATTCTTTATTTCCTCTCAAAAGACTTGCATACTAGATGTCAATCAGAAATGAAGAAAGGAAGGGAAAGGGCTGCAAAAGACAAATGGTTATTGGAAGTTTCATTCACAATTTTTTGTTATATATTTCTTGGATGGGAAGGAGACTCACACTTTATACCATTTCGGTGAAATTAGAAGAAAAAAAAAGGAGACAAGGCTCGTGCATAGAAATTTCCATCAGGAGTCATGGTGAATTACTTTACAAAGTACCTGGTTCATTGTGGTTCCAGGATATTTGCTGGGACCCATTGCAACCATGGGGATAAGAGAGGCCCCCATACTTTTATTGTTATTATAATCATTGTGGCAAGATCAGGCTGGACCATGCTCTAAATGACTCCATACTCTAGAAACAGTAGTCTACCAGGCCATGCCTTGCTTGAAGATATCTGACTCCACATTGAGGAGAGAAGACGACAGTGTACGTGGATTAACACAGGAGCAGATTCACCAGTGGTGCACTGTCCATGCAGCACAAAATGACAACTCAGTCCCAAGAATAGAAAATTATGTATGACTTTATTATGGTATCGTTATTCTTCCATAGGCACGATGATATGCACCCTGTAAATTTAATAGGGTGAATTTAGACTAAAAAGGCACATATGTATATTAAAATCACACCTAGAAAGCAAAGCAATGTTAGATAAAACTTGGAGATTTTTTTCTTGGTAAAAGTTCCACAGAGAAGCTTAAAGACAGGTCTCCAGTAAGGATCTTTTGACAGCACTGTGCATAAAAAGACAGGGTCTGAGGTTTGGATCTTGAGAGCAACAGTAGCCCATAAGACTTAAGGAAATCCCTTGCTCATGTGAATTGTTCAAGAGCTAAAGAGAAATAATCTCTAAGTTAATATTTGGCTTATGTTGTAAGCTACAGATGCCTGGGTGTGGAACGGGGAGAGATAAGTAAGTGTGCAGAGCTACTATAGCTGCCTTGCTTCTGTCCTTGGGAACCTCAGGCTATTGCAGTCAAATGCTTCCTTGATATAAAAATTTATTTTGTTACTCCAGAATCTCTGGAATCTTGAGGACCAAAAGATGTGGGGGTGATAGCCACTTTATTAGCATTTTTTCTTGCTTTAATTGTAAGTAGATTAAAACCTTCCTATCAATGTTATTAGACCTACTTTATAATCAGTAACTGACCTCACTGATCATAACCAGGAAGAATTTTGCCATTTATCATGCCCTGTTGAAAAATTCACTGCTGGGGCCCAGCGAATTCTGGGTGATAACAGGAACCACCTAAGGTTAAGCCCCAGTTGGAAACGACATTCACACCCGACACAGCCAGGTCCTATGTGAGAATGTATGTAGGAATAAATGTCTAATGGAGGATTCGAGGCAAGAAGTTACTGTAGAAACAGAAAATGATTCCAATTTCTCTTCAAATCTGCTTCCAGGATTTGCTTTCCTGTGGTTATACCCCACTATCTCATGGGTCCTAGGTTACATACAACTGCTATATGTAAGTCATAGAAACTGCTTCCCCAGCAATTGCCTCGCCTGCTTGCTGGGAGTTATCCTGCCCTGCTGACTTCCGAGAAACCCACTCAGAGGCAGAGCAATGCAATGCAGCCACAGAGCTAGCCAGTGCGAGAGCCAACATGGACACCCTCCCTTCTGCACAGGCTACAAAAAGCAAACACACATTATTAATGAAAGGAGAAAAAGAGCGGCAAAGTAAAGGCATAACTTTTATGATCATTTTTGTGATTTCCATATCAATTTAATCCACCATTTCTCATGATCTCTGCGAGCATTTTCTTTACTGGAGGAATCATATTTCTCTCAAAGTCTTAGGTGAGAAATCTAATTGATCTCATAAATGATTTTCTACTTATGAATCCACAATTGGATTCAATCTCTTTAGTCTCATTATCGCTGGTCACCTTCATTCTGTCCCCTCAAATGTGAGGAGGCACCAGGGTCTTCCAAGCAGATGCCATTTCTTCATACTTTCCTTTTTCAACATCACAGCCGAGGAATTGCACAGAGGCGGTGACTGACGGGTGAAAGGGTAACAGACATTCTGAACTGCAGGCTCAGCTTCTCATTGACTGGGGGCTTGAAGGTAAATTTTTGGATAAGGGAAGTGATAAAAATGAACAGCTCAGACCTGGCCAACTGCTCTCCAAGACAAGCTCGTTTTCCTGCAAGACAAAAACAAAGGATTTTATTCACCTATCACTGTGAAGATCAAATAAAAACAAGGTAGAATAGGACAAAACAAACACGTAAGTACTGTGCATTCACTATAAAATCTGCACAACAGGAAACATATGAACGAGAAAATAGAAGCTATTTATAACTCCACAGTCCAGACAGAACCATGGGCATGATGATATGCATGCCAGTTCTGTCATTGGGATTGTGCTGAACATTGTTATAACCACTATCTTACTCAACTCTTTTTTTTTTTTTTTTTTTTTTTTTTTTTTTTTTTTTTTGATTTTTCGAGACAGGGTTTTCTTACTCAACTCTTTAAGGTGCTTTTGCTACTTTGTTTTACTCGGGAAACTGATATTCCCAAACTGATCACCAGCTCATGCTTATGGTGTGTTCTCTACCTTCCACAGATTCCTGAAGGAACAAATGCAGATACTAAACTAACTGATATTCCAAAACTGATGACTAGTTCATGCTTCTGGTGTGCTCTCTACCTTCCACAGATTGCTGAAGGAACAAATGCAGATACGACAGGCAAAACTTTTCAGTAACTGTGTGTTGCCATAGTGCTGGCGTCATAGTGTGTGTATGTGTGTTCCATCAATGTGTTTAACTCATCGTCTCTGCTCCCTTCATCTTCATTCTGTTAAGCATGACTAGAAATATGACTTGTAACTTAATAAAATGGAACTGAATCAGCTCTGTTGTAAATTCCCAATATTCTTCTAGAATTCTTCTGTCAGGACAAAACTTGATCTGTAAAGTCAGGAACCCATTTTCCTGATTCAGCCTTTGTTCAATCAAGGACCACTGTGTGACTACAACTAACCCACCCATTTTTCACAGAGCTAAATCTTTCTCACTTGACAAACACACAGAGTCTTGTTTCTTTCACAGGTTCCATGGCTGGACAGTCATCAAAATTATCCAGCAGGAACTTACATACTTGAAAAGGATGAAAACAAGGGACACTCAATATGAAAGCTTTGGATTTAATTAAAGAACAAGTCCAAGATCAGGAGTTAGAACAAACCTGTCCTCCTTTGAAGCTTTTTACGTCAGGTGCTGTGTGACAGTGATAGACAGCTGTGACAGTGACAGGCAGCTGTGACAGTGATGGACAGCTGTGGCAGTGACAGACATCTGTGGCAGTGACAGACAGCTGTGACAGTGACAGACAGCTGTGACAGTAACAGACAGCTGAGTGAGAGTGATGGACAGCTGTGACAATGATGGACAGCTGTGACAGTGACAGACAGCTGTGACAGTGACAGGCAGCTGTGACAGTGATGAACAGCTGTGACAATGACGGACAGCTGTGACAGTGACTGACAGCTGAGTGACAGTGATGGACAGCTGTGACAGTGACAGACAGCTGTGAAAATGACAGACAGCTGTGACAGTGATAGACAGCTGTGACAGTGACAGACAGCCATGATAGTGATGGACAGCTGTGACAGTGACAGACAGCTGTGACAGTGATAGACAGCTGTGACAGTAACAGACAGCTGAGTGACAGTGACAGACAGCTGTGACAGTAACAGACAGCTGAGTGACAGTGATGGACAGCTGTGACAATGATGGACAGCTGTGACAGTGATGGAAAGCTGAGAGACAGTGACAGACAGCTGTGACAGTGACAGACAGCCATGATAGTGATAGACAGCTGTGACAGTGACAGACAGCCATGATAGTGATAGACAGCTGTAACAGTGACAGACAGCTGTGACAGTGACAGACAGCTGAGTGACAGTGACGGACAGCTGAGTGACAGTGATGGACAGCTGTGACAGTGATAGACAGTTGACGACCACTTCCTGGTTGAGACTGTGCTTAGATCATCTTCACATGGAAAAACACATGAATTGCCTCGCTACTAAAATAACAGAGATGACCTAGGCTTTTGGCAAAGTTTTCCATGACTAGCTTTTGTAAGCCAGTGATTTGATTTATTAAAAAAACAAAGACCATGCTAGCATGAAACTGCCAGTGCTCTGCTGTATAAACAAGTAGGGCTTGGTTCAAGAATGACTGTGCCATCTGTCTTGCTAATGCACAGGCCATAGCCCTACTTATTTTTGCCAAGAAAAAAGAAGCTGATGTCTGAATTTCCTTCTTCCAGGGAGGCTGCATACAGAAAGAGTAGAGACAGGAGGAAGGAAGTAACTGTGTGGCACAGGTAGCAGTAAAGCAGAAAACACTCACAGCTGTTGACACAATGTTGACCCAATAGGCATTTTAGGTTTCTACATTCTGCTCAATGTAACTGGTCTTCATTATGGCACCACTTGTGTGAGCATCCTCAGGAAAATTGAATTTTATTCTTCTTCATCAGAAAGAACTGATGAAAGCAATACAGATCTCATTGCTCTCATCCATGGGGTCCATATCATGTGTACTAGCACTTCAACGCTATTCCAACCAAAGACTGCAATCGTGTCCCTCCCCTTGAGTTGGGCTTCGTCTTGAGGCTTGACTAGGTCATCAGAATGCAGTGAAGTCATGGTGTGACAATTTCCAGGCTGTGTATTTTTGTAATCCCTCCTGGGATATTATCACTACCTTATAGACAGACAGCTGGCTTGCCCAAGGGAAATAGATAACATAGAAACAACACAACTGAAGAATAGAATTATATGGTGGAGAGAAGGGAAAGGCTAGGGAGGAGCTCTGAACTCTCTCCTGCTCATCACAACTCACCCATTGAAAATGGCAGAAAAGCCTCTCTCTTCTTAAACTCTCCATTCTCCAGAAAGTGCTCTGGGTTGAAGACATCTGGAGTGGCCCACTCTTTGGGGTCCCTGTGCAATGCAGTTAGGTTGGTCAGCACCATGATTCCCTAGAAAAGGCAGTAGAAAGTAAAGACTTAATAAAAACTCCCACATAAACAGGTGATGATGCTCAAACTCCCATACCTGGCCTGGGGCACTTGACATCCTGAACTTTCCTACTCTCTGCAACTGATTTGCTGTCACTTGAAATATTCCAGCCATTTGCAAAGGTAAATGGACCATGCTTTATTAACGAATCTGTCTACTTTACCAAAAGTGGCTAATGTAGGTTTGAGAAGAGGACCTGAGAGCATCCATGGGGAGATGATGAGTAACTGTTCATGTCCCCTTCATCTATTCTTCTCCATTTTTTTCTGTATATTATTAAAGAGACAACAGTCTAACTCACTACAGTCAAAGACGCAGGGATGTATCAGAAAGCATTCCTGTTATGGCAGATACATCACACAATACCCAGAATCATCAGAGTAAGCCTTTCCCTCTCCTTGCTCAATCATCAGCAAAGCTGGTCCACTCTCGAATCCATCACCTCCATTCCGGTTTCCCACTGAAACCTTAGTGCAGGCTCCATATCCTCCTCTTGCAACTACCTAATAGCTATGACTGTGTTCCACAGTTTGAAGGCTGAGTGGGCTCTGCATATGATGTAATTGCATAGTCCACTCACTCACGCAAACTTGGAAAGCAGGTTTCTCATATTCTTATATCAAAGATTCATCCTGTGTACTCTCAGAGTCACTGTTTATTGTTTCCCTCCGACTGGGCTCCAACTAGAGCAGTCTTCCTTTATGATCCATGTTGCAATGCTGATTGCTTTAGATGGAGTATTCCTTTGCATATTGACACATAGCTAATTCTTCACCCTCCTTCAATCCTCAGTTCCAATGCCTCTTTCCCCAGAAACACTCACTGATTCCTGCAGTTGCTACTCCTCTCCCCATCTTGTCAGTATCACAGAGAAATAGAATGGTTTCCTTCCTACAGCCCTTATGGCTTATAACAGGGACTCCCATGACTCAGGTATCCCAATTCCAGACCCAAACCTTGTGGGTATTTAATAAACATTCTCTTGATTAATAAGGAATAATTTCTATTCTGAGTATAAGGTTCCATATATGTAATCTTATTATATTTCCATGGAGTCTATGAATATGGTTGAATGCATTTTTGTAGAAGCTGAAGCTGTGATTGGTTAGGAGATGTGCTTGTCCAGTAGGAGTAAGTGAATTCAGCATTGGAAACAGGTTTATCTGCTGTTAAGGCCATGATTTCCCACATCTGTTGAACACAGCCATTTAGATTTATCAGCACCCAGGGAACTGATGGTATTGTCTGTGGAAAGAGTTGGTATGGCTGTCTGAAAATGAATTAATGGACAGAAAAAATGCAAACAACGTTGGAAAAATTCAGACCTCAACTTCAAGTCATGAACTGTTGTTCATCAATAAGAACAGTAAACACAATGATTGTTCTCTGCCTCTTCAGCAAAGGTCCTCTGCTAGGATTAGACCCGCAATATGCTGCGGAGGCCCATAGGAAACAAGGCCAGGTTTGGCCTAATCACACATGATCAAGGAAGCTTCCCTTCTCAACTCTTCATAATAGATTGGAAAATCCACTAATGCACATAGAGGGTTTTGGCAGAAATATACTTCTTTTCCTATTGAAACCATTTCTCTGGTCAGGACTACATGCCACTTTTTAAATTTAGGCTCCCAAGATGACACCAACGATGGACCAGAGGATCTGAAGTTGAGAGAGTGTTACCTTTGGCAGGTCAAATCCAGCCAACTTGGTGGCAACAGCCCCTTCCCTGGGAACATTAAAGGGAATGATGTTGCCCATCCTCTGCACTTCGTGGATGACAGCATTGGTGTAGGGCATGGAGTCTCGGTCAGCCAGGCTTGGCTGTCTTCCTTGACCAATCACTCTGTCAATCTCAGCCTGCACTTTTTCTGAAAGAAAACAGGAGATTCTATTATCTTTAAAACTTTAGTGCTTTCTTCTAAAGATATAGAAGTTGTCTCCGAGACCTTACCTGCTTTTATTTTACCTTAGCACTCTGGTTATTAAAGAAATAAAAGTTTTCTCAACCTTTCAAATACCTGTTTTAGAAAACTGTCAATTCAACAACTTTCTTTGAGTTTACAACATAATCATAAATTTCCATGTGTTCTGAGCTGAATGTCTCAGATGAACACAGGTAAACTAATAGCAGTATCTAGTCAGGGCTTCTACAAATAGGCACCATGCAGAGTGGGTGACAAACCACACAAATGTATTCCTCATAGTTCGAGAGCCTGGAACTTCTGAGAGCAAGGCATTAGCAGTTTTCTTGCCTGATAGATAATTTTCTGTCTCTTAAGTGCCAAACCTCTACTGAGACTCATGCTGTAAAGAGCAATGAATCTTTTTGGTAGGGACTAGCTCTCTGCACAAGAGCCATTCACCTCCTGCATGAGGTAGAGCTGAACATGAGCGTCACAAATAGGACACAAAGGTACAGAGCATCTGCAATTCCTACTGTCTTAAGTAGCTATAACGGCATGGGCTGTAGACAGCAGTGTGTTGCTGAACAACATTCATGGTGAAGATGCTTACATTCTTTGAGCTTCATTTTACCATGTGATTAGTGAGAATAAGTCTGCCTTATCTTAAGGATGTTTTGAGATTTATATGAACTATTATAATAATAACTGATTGATTCTGCAACCTGTCTGCCAGTATGGTGGTTTCTCTTTTTCAAGAGTAATAGAGGTTGAGTTAATTTTATCTGATTGGTTAGCTACACATTTCATTTAAAATGAATTTGGAACACCAAGCCCCTTACTATTACCCTACATGTAAAAATTTCACATAAAATTTATATAATATAAAATTTATCATTATTTCTATGGTGATTTTTGAGGAAAGATTTGTGTGGCCAGGATTATCTTAAATTTTCAATAAAACTATCTTAAACCTGTCAACGATTGAGATTAATGGTGTGGGCCACCAATCACAGCTCTTTAAATATTTTTGTGTGAATAATTCACTAGCCTTTAGTATGTTCACACTGTTGTACATGTTTATTGCTGGAACTTCGTGGTACAAAAAAGTTGATATCCATGTTACAAAAACTGATTTCCCCTCCCTGCATTCTCCCTTCGGTGTGCACAATCTGACTATTGTTTTAGTTAGACAGTACAGTATTTGCGATTTTGTGATCATCTTCTTTAACTTAGCACAGTGCCTGAACTGGTGCAGCATCATAATTCCTTTTCTGGGGCTGGAGGATGACTCAGTGGTTAAGATACCTCGTAGCTCTTGCAGAGGACCTGAGGTTGGTTCCTAGCACACACATGGTGGCTCATCACCATCTATAATCCCAGATCAGGGGATCTGATGCTTTCCTCTGACCTATGCAGGTATGAAACAAGCATACAGTAATACACTTACAGGTAAAGCCACACATATAGACAAAGCACTCATACACGTAAAATTAATCTTTAAAAAATTAAAACCAATGTCTTACTTCTGATTAAATTTCCATTAGATCTCAGATATATTCTGTACTTTATTTATTCAAGACTTATAGATACTCTGGTTTTTACCATTATTTGACTATTATGCATATTGTGAAATGAATAGAGTTGTAATTATATTATTTAAATCTACTGATATTTTGGAGTCTCATTTTTAGGAGTTAAGGCTGTATACTAAGTGAAATGATTTTAATTTAAAAAAAATGTAGTCTTGGGACAGTAATATGCCTGACAGGGTAGAGGTGCCTGCTGAGCTGAGCTAAACCTGCAGGTTCCACATGGTGAGGGAGACAACTGAGTCCTGCAAGTTGTTCTATGACCTCCACACTTGTGCCATGGCACTCCACCACACCCCCTAAAACACAACAAAAACTTTAAATGTAATCTTCAGGAAGAAATGCATTTTAAATGGTGACTCAATAAGTGTATAGGTAAAGATAGATACATATTAAATATCCATTTCACATTAGTAAAGAAAGTTTACTCGGGAGATAGCTCAATTGAGAAAAATCTTACTTAAACATGTGGACCTAAGTTTGATCCCTAGAGTGCATGTAAAATGTCAGGTGTGATGGCAAACGCTAGTTGTACTGGAGACAGAGAGAAAAGGGGGCCCCTGGAGCTCAGTGGTTACTTGTTGAATTCTAGGCCAATGAGAAAATTTATCTCAAAAGCAAAAAAAAAAAAAAAAAAAAGAAAAAAAAACAGTGAACTGTTCTTGAGGACGGAAGTCTGAAGTTGTTCTGCGGCCTAAGCATGCATGTACACATTTACACATACATACATTCACATAGGGTCACTCACACAAAGGTGAAAATAAGGTAATGGACAAATCTGACTTTACCACATTGGTAGAGCTCTCACTTCCTCTTTTTGGTTTCCATCCTAGGGCAAATAGGTACTAAATTGACTTTAAGACCCATGAATAAATTGTTAGTCATACTTTGAAAAAATGTTGCAGTATATGAAAAATGTTCCCAACCACTACCTGCTAAACTCTTCTAGACTGTGGAGGAAGAGAAATTATGAGACAGACAATTCTTTGGTATAGACAACGAGCAGTGGAGAGATATAAAAACAATGTACAAGGTCCAGTCATTGATGGGGGAAAATTGTTCATCTCTAGAGAAAGAAAATGACAGCAATTGCTTAGTCAGTAAATTCCTAGAAAAACCTGAAACACCTTAGAGATGTGGTACCTTAGAATATTCTTCTAGATATGGAGGAAATTGGAACAGTATATTCTTGGTGGAGAGAACACTTGATGCCATGACTTAGAGACAAGAATGCAGACAGTGACCACAGAGGACATGTAACACAGGAAAGCTACCATGCAGGGTAGGAGGAGGTTGAGGATGGGCAGAGAGGTGCACATCACATGACTTCAGAAACCACACTAAGGCATTTGCACAGTATAAAACGATTAATAAAAACCCTGAGACATAAATTGTGGTTCAACCTAAAGTTCAGAAAAGTGAAACATCCAGCCACTGGCTCTTACCTCTACTTCTTTCTGAAATGGTGATCCTGTCTCCAGGCAACTCAAAATGAGACTGAATTTCTAGGGCTGGGACTACTGCCCGGTTTCTATGGCAAACTAGTATGGCTACTGGGATTAAAGGTGTGTGTCACCACTGCCTGATCTATAAGGCTGATCAGGGCAGCTGTTTTACTCTCTGACCTCTGGCAAGCTTTATTTATTAACAAACGAAATACCACTACAGCACAGTATCCAAGGCAAATAGGAATGCATTGCTAAATAGAAAGGAGAACATGTGTAGATGCTCCTAAGGTAATACCATCCTTTGCTGGAAGTGATCACAATGTTCCTTGATTTCTCTGTTTTGTTTTAAACTTTCTGCTTCTTGAGCACACAAATGCTATAATATTGGCCCTGCTGTGCCCATCCTAATCTGACAGAACATGTGGAGGATGTATTCCATCCCAAGTGCACTTCACCTCACAGCCATTCTGTCTTTTCCCATCTCACCATGCCTTCTGGTCCCACCTGAGCCACAGATTCGAGATGTCCCACTCCACCTTTTCCTGGTGCATTCACCCATGCTCACCTTGGACTTCTGGGTAGAGGGCCATACAGAGCAGAGCCCAGCGCAGGGTCGTGGATGTTGTCTCTGTTCCAGCAAAGAAGAGGTCCAGAGTGGTGGTGATGAGGTTTTCTTCATTGAAACTTGTAGTATTGTCTGGATACTGGAAAAGACAGTGTGTACTTATGTATTCCAAGGGTCTCAGTCAAGACCTTAGGGTATGAATTTGGAATGATTCATATAAAGTAAGAATCCCTTTGACCACATCAGGAAGCATTTCTGCCCTAATTGCTACAAGGTGACAACCAAAACCTTATGGCACTTTGGTGGATGAAAATCTTAACTATTGTCTTCTGATTATATTTTTCGAAACTTTTTGTCCAATGATCCGAAAAAGAGATAAAAATCATCTTTTGTTTCTAGTATCAGCCACATCTCTAAGTCACGACTTGGCCTAGGACACGCACCTAACATTTCTTTTCTTCCGTTTGATAAAATGAGAATAAGGAACACACCTTAACATGCCATTATCAATCATTTGAGAAACCACAGGCACACAGCCAACACTTGACAGATGCTTCTGCTTATACCAGAAAGAATCAAGTAACTCTTGGTGATTTCTGATTCTCTGATCTCACCACCCATCTTTCTTAGTCAAGACTTTATGATCCCATAATTTTTTTTATGGCATGGCATCATTTTTTACCAGCTTTCTCTGGAAGAATAAATCTGTTAAGATTGATTATAATATTGATGCCCTAACACCTGAATATGACAAGGAAATATTCACCTCTTTCTCTGAAGAGAGAAAAAAAAATGGCTTTTATCAATATTATTTAAGGACAATGAAATCAGAGAGAGGATAAAAAAAATTACTATTCTGCCCTTGTTCAGAGGAGGAGCACTGATCCAGTGATGTGTACCAGTAAGAGTCCTAGTGAGATCCAGGCTGTATATTTTGTAATATGGTGTGAATCTGAAATGAAAATTCGGAATTACTACAAGCTCACTTTTTGGATGCTTGGCTCCTAATTGTCTGAAGTATTTTTGAAGGTTCTATACTATTAGAAAAGGGGGAAGGACCTAACTGGAGGAAGTGACTGCTAGGAGCAGCATTTTTGCGGTTATATTTGGACGCTGGATCTTGCCTTGGACTCTGATCCTAAAGCAGCATTATGTGAACAGACTTCACCATAAGCTTTTGTCACCATTCCTTCGCCATGGTGATGGACCCAACTCTAAAATGGTGAGCAGAACCAATTTCTCCTGTGTTGATTTGGTCAGGGACTATCACAATGATACACAAGTAACACACACACACACAGCTGGTTGCTGCCTGGCCTCTTGTGTATTATTGGACGGGGCTTTTATGTGGATTCAGGAGGCCTCATCTATATGTTAAAGCCAGGTTCTTGCATTCAGCTGTGCATTGCTTATATCTTGCATTGGTGAATGAGATACAATCAATTACTGGCCCTAAACCAACTTGTAACAAAATTCGACTCTGAAGTTTAATTGCAATTTTCATTTATGATACAGCTCATTCACATGTGGCTAAAAGCCAAGAGAGAAACACGGAAAGATAATATCTGGCATTATCATGGCTTCCTGCAATGACTATGAACTCTATTTCTAATGACTCTAACAATCCTGAATTAATGCTATACTATTCCTGATAAGTATTATATTCTTTTCATCTAATTTTCCTGTAGGGTATCAAACAAATGATCTAGGGAGATGTCCATCTGTTCAGCTCTACATTGTGCTTAATACCCCATAATCAACCTTGTCTATGTGATTAATTTTCAAAAGGAAGGTTGCACAGAGTTGTTATTATAAGATGGAGATCAAGGTTCAGAAGCAAAGAGATGAGATATAAAGATTGAAGCAGTGATCAGGGAGAAATAGACATTACAGTCTTGGCATTGAAGATGAAGGAAGGAGACAAGGCAAAAGGTATCTGTACCCAGTAGAATTTGGAAGAGGCAAAGTAATGAGTTCTCACTATTTCCATGTGAAGCTTGCCTGGCCAACAGGCATACAGAACACACACACAGGACTATGAGGGAACACATTTGTGTTATGTCAAACCAATAAGATCAAGAACACAGACTTCAGAACCAACTGGAAACTACTAAATTGCTGCTTCCTCTGCAAGAAGAAGACAACACAGCCAGCATCTTCCCCACCTTTGTCATTTCCGTGAGGAAAGCATCAATGAAGTCTCTCGGCTCGTCAGGGTTCCAGTCTCTCCGGTGATTGTTAACTATATCAGAAACAAACAATTTCAGCTTTCTCCAGTTTCTGAAAAGTGTTCGGTGTGATCCAGGAAGATAATGAATTATCCTTGGAAAGATATTGTAGAGCTGATTGGGAAAAATAAGACAGTCATGGTGCCACATGTCAAACACTCTTGTCCTTCCCTTTATTTCTTACAGTGGCTAGTGAGGCCACCTTGACTCCTGCTTCACTCCTTACTCCATACCTGCGCCCTCCACAGGCATTTCACAGTAGAATATAATTATATGTTTTTTTAACCATTACATAATCTTTCAGTTTGCAAAATTAAAGTGCCCTTTACTTAACTGAAACAATTTAACATTTTAACAATGACGTGTAACTGATGCAAGGACAAATGAATGCATCAAGAACACCTAAATAAGTACAAATGTGTATACTACCTCACATAGTTTTATACCAAGGCAACAGCATGACTTCCGGGAAGCATAGGAGACCTTAGGAATTAACTTTCCTTTAAAGCTGTCTTTCCTATTTAGGAATAAGCCTGAGAGACCAGTAAGGTGTGGAAAATATTTAGAAGACCCTAAGGATTGAAGGGACAAAAATTTGAACATAGATTTCCTAAGCCGGGGGTAAAGTTTGAACACCAAGTGTTTACTGCAATGTAAAAACAGGCATCTATTTGAACTTGTAGTTATTTTTTATGTGCAGATGCAAAGTCTACACAAATGCGTGAATGGGTTCACATGAACACTTGTTCCAGAACATATTCTGCAACGTTACTAACATCACAAGTCGGGGAACAACTCAAAATTCCAAAACATGGGAAAATAATCATTAACAGTCACACATTTTGCCCACCCTATTCCCAGTGAACAAAGCACAGCACACGAAGCAACATATTAAGTAAGTAAGCTGAGCTGGTAAGTAACCAGCACCAGCATTCACAGATACATGGGCATCCTGCAAATGTTGGTACTTCGTTGAAGTATTAGAAATGTGGCTATTCTCATGCAAGAGTTTTGTATATTATCAACAACTCTGAAACCAACAGATAGATTTGAATATAATTGTGCTAAACTCAACTTTAAGATACTATGTTTTTACTTCAAAAGCCCTAAAATACAAAAAAGAGGAATCTGTATGAATTAGTCCCTCGTTAATACTCTTCTCAAGACATGAGAGGATGGCATGCTTACGTGGCACATCAGTGATGACTCCAAACACATGACCTCATCCAGCAGCCTCAGCATCTCCTGAAACCGACTATCCTGGTACTCAAAGCGCTCTCCGAAGGTGATAGAGCAAATTATATTGGAAACTGCATTATTGATATTGAAGTGAGGGTCAAATGGCTGTCCTGGAGTAGAAAGGGAGCCGGGTTGTTTAAAGATATTTATATTTATATTGTCTATAAGCAATTAACTCCAAATAATAAAACAATCCTTGTGCTTCCCCTCCCCCTACACAAATATTGGAGAATGCAGAGAATAAAATAATGGGCTCTGGCCACAGCATACATATGGGGCTTACATGATCCATGGTTTCTGTCAATGGATGTAAATCAGATAGACTACCAGGATTAAATTCAACGAAGTGTTTAATAACACATTTTTGTTTGCTATGTTATAGCGCTCTAGGATAGGCTCATAGTTCAGTCTTCAGTACCCAGTCCAGAGCAGGCCTAGACAAACAGATGCTTAGTAAGAATCTGTTCACCATTATTCTCAGCCCCTGCCCTCTGAGATGCCCACCTCCCTCCTCTTTTATGGCCTCCACAAGATAGCTGGCCTCCTCCTGTATGCGCTGCTCTAAGCTCTTCTTTCCCAACCCAAAGTTTCTCAGAGTCATCAGGGCAAACCTTCTTTGCTCCTTCCATGTCTGGCCACTGGAGAAGATCAGTCCTGGAAAGGAGAGATTCAGCGTTATGGCACTGAGATTCTGATCTAAAATTACCCAACAAGTGGCACGGGCACCTGTGCTATAGAAAGGAGAGGGCCCATAAGGCTCTTGGCAGCTATCTGAAGACACAATCCCAAAGCAAGGGAAGTAAGATTTACTGACTACTTACAACATCAAATACTTTGGTGTTTCTTGTGTTTATGTGATTTAACACTTTCAGAAATTTCATACGCTTATTGTCAATTAATTCCAGACCCATTGCACCTGATACAAAAGCCTAGACATTGGGATAAAGCTTCCTTTATAAAGAAATCTAGTTAGTAGATTGCAGCTGCTATATTCAAGTTTCAGTCTCTCTAGTTCCATGGCCCTTTGGTCACACAAATCACACAACTCATGCTAAGCTGAATAACAGGGATGCACTCATGAATAAGATGACATGTACTTTTAGCGAGGTAAGGAAATTTTATAGAAGAGGTTCCAGCTGAGACACACAGTAAAAAATGAATGAATGACTCAAGACACAGAGACCCTGGAGCCAAGGAGAAGGGACATGCTGGTGTACACAGCTTCCATCTACTATCGTGGCATATACAATGAATGCTTCTGTCAATTTGGTAACTTTAAGAGGTATCCTTAGATCCTTTACATACACGTCTTAGCCTCCTGATTGCTACTTTTTAAATGATAGTAATAAATATTCAAACCTCCCAGTTATATTACTGGCCAGAAGGCTAAAGACCACTGGAGGATACAGAGTCATAATCAAGAGCAGCAGCAAGAAGAGGCTGGCTGACTCCCATCTATTTTCCTGCGGCAGAGGGTTGGGATGGGAAAATGAAAGTGAGGGCACAGTATGCATGGCTGGACATTCCATCAGAGCATCAAGAGTTAATGTACAGGACATGTGGCTTTTATTAAATCTAGAAGAGAGACATGGTAAGTCCTCTGAGAGGCACTTCTATTCAGAGAATACGGCACCCTGCTTCCTTGTTAGATGGCAATTTATAATGGGGTTAGCTTAGGCGAGAATTGGCCAGTTATAGACAGGTACCTTTAACATGCCACAGAATTACAATACATACTATATATTGCTCAAGGAACTTACCATTTTTCTTAAAGAGATGTTTTCGGAGAAGAGTGACAGGACGATTCAGAAAAGTTGGCTCCAATTGAGTAAAGACTTCTTTGATTAAGGGCATGCCAGTTATAACCACTGAGGGTATATTAGCAAAATCGAAGCTTAAAACGTTCCCGTATTTCTTCACAAACTGAAAAATATTTCAGTAATTACAGCTCAGTGAGTCCATGTCTGTCGGTACAGAGATGAAAGGCACGCATGTAGCCAATGGGACTCATGTTGAGATGTCTGCAAAGGCAAGCATCTTCCTCTATGTAAATGTTTTGAAATTTTTCTCTTATAAATTGGGTTCAATTACAATATACACTAAGAATAGAAATTTCTCTTTATAAAATTCCTAAAGCATTCAGCAAATATGAATGAGGTATGCAGCTACTCTACTTCCCTAGAGGAAGACATGAGGGTATGTGTAGCAACCAATAAGCAAAGTCTCTAACCTGAAGCCTCCTGAATTTAATGAAGGCAGAGAACAGAAGAAAAAGACCAAGGAAGGTCTGTACATGTTTGGTGAAGCTTTAAAAACACGCTTGTTTAAAGAGAGAATAATTCCTTCAACATCTACTATATACAGAAGATTCCTGTGTAAGCAATGCACTACCACTGAATGTAGTCTGTGTATTTGTGTGTGGAGGAGGTATTTGGTCTGATGAGAATGTTTCTGGGTTTTCTTTTTTCTCCTATTTACTTTAAGAATTTCCTCAAAAAGATTTTCATTCATGTGTTTGTCAATATGAATTGAATGAACATCAATGTGTCCCTAGACTAGGTTATGAGGCCAACAAAGTTTTAAAGAAATCAATGTTTCTAAACTGAAGCATCTGGAGACCACTGGAGGCAGAGTCCTATTTTTCTAACTTGTCAAAGGCTGAAATTGTGCCTTTAAATTCTACTGTAGTAAGCATGGAATTATTAATAAACTAAAATATCTGTAGATATCTGTAGCCAGAGTAGAGTATGCCCTTCCCACATCTTCTTAGATATGGAGAGTGTAATGAAGGGTGGAGGCTGGCAGTGGAGACTTCCCTGTCATTCTGCAGTGATGTAAACCTGTAGCTTCTATGCTTAACTGTCTGTGTACTCTTAAGGAAGCAGTTCTATTTTTTGAAACTTAGTATGAACATTAAAAAGTTATCCCTTCCACACTGGGTTCTTTAAGGAAGAATAAAAGTAGAAACATGAAAGCCACTTTGTTTTCACGTTCTAGGCACTCAGCATCTCTGCGAAATTAGTCGGCTGTTTATATGCAAAGCATGTGAGGTACAAAATCACGACGATGAGGATGAAGGAGCAGGTTGCGTCTCTGGTCGTAGATAGTACTCACGGAGTAAAGGAATAGCATTTCTCGTGCTTTATTTCATCCACTTTAAAACTCCTCACCACAGTGAGCATTTCCTATCTTCCCCAAAAGACAAACAAGTTGTATGTGAAGTAGGGTAGACAAGAAGACAAAGCTGTTGCTTGTGCTGAGGAAATCACTAGACGTTATGTAATATTTGAGGAAAACAAGATGACTTTGAGATATCCAAATGAACTTGAAGTTTAGTGAGAGCTACAGAGTGGGAGGCAGGCCTGAGTGGGAGGGGTGGGGAGTTTGGGTGAAGAAGAGAGAAATGGAGAGAAGGGAAGAGAAGGTCCATGAAGATGTGGAATGTGAAAGCTTGTGCAAATAGAGTTGAATACGATGCATGAGGAATATCAAACTTTCTTTCCCTGTATGATCAAGAGTTAACTTTTGGAAGGCTCCATTTCTGCATTTTTGTCCTCCTGAGTCACATCTAGCGTCAACAGAGGTATGAAACAGAGATCTCAGCTCCTCCTTTATCACATTTGTGCAGCCTCTCCTGAAGGATGGAGAAAGAAAGTGCTTCAGATCAGAATGGAAAGGACAAACTTGAAAGGTCAGAAAAAAAGACAGCTATGGGAGGATGAGTAAGGGGCAAAGACAACAGACTCCTGTGCCTTTGAGTCCCAGCTGCACTGACACTGCAGAGCAGGTCAGTGTGGGATGTGGGTCTCAGTGAGTGAGGACAGCACCTGGGGCAGTGCATCATACAGGGGAGAGGGCTCCCCCATGTTTGTAGTTGCTGCACTTCACATGGAAAATGGTGGTAGCAAGCTCTCAGGATTCTCATTTGCATGCTGAATAATGCAGAGCTGATGCTGGCAGGACGATAAAAGAGATGGAAAAAGAGAAAAGACGAATAAAAAGGCATCTACTTGGGGAGTGTCCAAGAAACACACAGGGAAGGGATAATGGAAGAAAAGAGGTGGGAAACAAAAGAAAACTTATTAGCTTAAACTGTTAAATAGAAATAAATAAAAAGATACACTCAGTCTTCACATGTAATGGGAAGTGACAGGGATAATTAAACATGGCTGGAGGATTCCCTATCTAAGCAAGGAAAATTGCTATGGATAAAGAGGAATATTACATGGAAGATGGTCATTCACCAGAAAGACCCGCCAGTCGTATATGTGTTCATAGTGCGCATGACAGTCTTTCCAATAGAAGGGGGAGAGCTTCCAGAACTGAATGAAAAGACGGAGACTCTCAGAAGAGCTGGAGATTCCAGTGCATCTTTCTCTGGAGTTGATAAAACCAGTAAGGAGTGAAGGACCAAGTTAAAATCAATAAGAAAAACAAGAAAACCGATATTTATACAGGTCAAGAGGAGACCATATATTTTTTTTTATCTGGACCAGGGCTCTAATCGACATCTGTGGAACCCCATTCATTTCTTAAACCAGCGTGGTGTATTTATGAAGATAAATTTTATGTCATCCAATTCACATTGAACTACTTTTAAAAATTAAAATAATACCCAGTATGTTCTCTGGCCATCAAATCACAATAGAAATCTTACATCGACAGACAGACAACTCTTTGGCAACTAACTTATCTCTGGGTTAGCAGGCTGCCAGCATCAGTTTACAATCAGGTCTTCGGGTTCCAGGTGCCAGAATCCCTTCCCAGGTCACAGCCAGAGACACCCTGGCCTCTACTTACCTTCTGGAGGGCTAGGTGGGGTTGCTTTGGGTCCAAATAAAACAAGCAGCCCACAAAGGGCAGGGGCCTGGGCCCTGGCGGGTAGTTCTTGGGGCGCCGCTTTTTGAGGTAGTCAGCCAGGAAGAGGAAGGCAACAGCAGCCAGCAGCAGAGTCTTCAGATGGAGCTCTGCCCAGATGGCGGCCACCAGGGAGCCTGTTGCAGAGAGCATGGCTGGTACTCAGGCAGGATCTCTGGGAGAATGAGGATCCGAGCTAAGAAGTCTTCAGGGTCACAGCCTCTGGTTCCCAGAATAGGCCAGCCTCTAGGCTAGTCCCGCCCCCTCCCACAGGACCCCACCCTCTCTCCCTCTGCGGACTCCTCCGCCCAGCCCAGCTGTGCTTGCTGCCAGCCCTTAGGCCTGGCGGCAAGCTCTTCTAAAGCTTGTTTCTTCTCAACTCTATAAGCCAGAGCAGAGCTTTGTGCCTTTTGCCCCTTAGCATTTCCCACTTTTCTCAAGGACCCAATCTCCCCGCCCCCCTGCACCCACCTCGACGCTCTTGGTCACGCGCTTTCCCCAAATTCCTGTTCAGGTGTTTAGACTTTCCAGCCTGTTCCTCTGGAGAAACTAGGGTGAATTCCAGGAAGGAGGCACTTGGTAATGTCTGGCCTGGCAAAGAGCCTAGCTCATTCAGAAAGCCCCTCCACCTGGTTCTCGGTTTATGATTTGCATGAATTTTAGAGGTTATCATGGGCATCTTAACTGTTTTATAAACAAACTTTGACCAGGGATTGCAACCTCCCTGGGAAGTGAGAGAAAGTAGCGCTGGCCTCACTTTGACAGTGCTATGCACAGAGAATAAAAGAATCCACAGATTCTTAGTGAACATTGAAGGAGCACCCTGGTCTCGATTCTATTTTGTTTGCTTGTTTTGTTTCCATGTAGTATTAGGGATTGAAGTCAGCCCTTGAGCATGTTAGACAACCTTTCCATTGCTTCATCAGTTTGTTTACTTTCTTCCTCCCTGTTTGCAGTCATTCAGAGCAGGTTGTAGTCAGCAACTGATGCTCTGCCAGCCAAGTGGAACCCTACTGAGATAAGTTTAAACTAGGAACAGAAATTAAAATGTATGTTCTTAAAAATAATATATTTGAAACTTTCAGGCTGATAGTGAAATCCATATCATAGATAAAAGCAGATAACGGGTATCTGTAATGGCAGGCATAGACTCATACCTTTGAGTCCTTGCAAAAACTACAAATTTTGGTTAGAAGCATGAATATTTTTCTGCTCTCCAGAGAGCCAGCTATGAATTGGACAGAGATGTCTTTGACCTGTTGAGAAATACATTCAAGTTCATATTTAAAGGGAAACCAGAATAAATCTAAAATCTTGAGCTTGTGACTGATGCAGTAAGCAGTCATTGCTCTATCAGCTCATCAGAATTATACCATAGAAGGGGAAAGAAATCAGAAACATTTTCCATATCTTAACCTGTATTTACTTTTAACATCGCTTTTTAGGCCCTCAAAAATTATGAGCTTTAATATACTCAGACTTTTATATATTTTAAAATTTTTTTAGCTATAAAATGAGCTAACAAGTTGGCTATAGCTTTGTGGAAGGGTCTGGATACCTGTTGCTGTTAAACTAACAACATTATTGCTGGCCTAGCCATCAATGCTATCAGAGATACCAGGAGGATAAATAAATTATACCAGAATACAGACAAAGCAGCTTCCAAATCTATTAAAAATGACAGGGACCAGAGTCCATACACAGTTAGCCATACCCAGGTCTCCATAGCATTAAACACAGAAGGATCCAGAACAGCAACCTTACAATATTAGCCAGGATCATAAGGTGATTTTTTTTCTGTGGAAGAGAGACATGGAAATGACTGACCTTATTTTGTCTAGGTAAAGTGACACAATCAATTATCCAAGGTCCTGCTGTTTATCTACAGTCTGGACCGGGTCCTGGCAGAAAGTGTTGCACTGGGGCATCTTGCCCAGTGATAAGCATCATCGTAATCCAGATGGAGACATCATAGTATTCCACAATCTTCTTTGGAGACTGTAGGTCACTGCTAGGATCTCGGAGTCTCTGTCGAATATAATAAGCTTTTTAATAATTATTTTAAATGCCATATTCTGCAGATCTCTGAAGTATTAGGGCTGCCTAGGCATATCTGATTGAACACACTTTGTTTCTAGTTACTTGTTTTAAGTCTGACTTTGAAAACATATACAGGGACTTAAATAAGGCTTATCCCAGGCATTAATTATATCAGTATTTTAAGGATGACTAACTAACTTGTATTCCCTAACAGTCTATAATAAGTTAGCAGCTCTCCTGAGACTAAAATCTTTACATTCTGTCAGCAGAACTTTGGACTTTCCTGTTATGACTAAGTTGCATTCAGTCAGAGGAAGACATCTTTGGTCCTTAGTTATCAGGCTAGATCTTGTCTTGGGTCTGTCATATCCTGGAGTTGCCCACAGTCATGGATTTCAATTATATCAAGGTGGACATACTTTGTAAATACCATAGGCATTCTTTTTCTTCTCTTCCCTAAGCTTCTTTTTCTCTTTTCAAGCTTCTTCCTAATTTTTAATTTTGACTGCAGTATGCCATCTTATATGTTTATAAGACAATAACAGAGAGATGAGTAACACCCTGCTTTTGGTAAAATATTCTCATTTTCTGTCCAATGGCTTAAACACCGAGTATCAAGCAGAAATTCAGAGAGAAGGGTTGCTGTTCCTTACAAGTGACTGGTGTGGAAGAAGTGAAGTAGAATTCGATGTTCAGCAAACCAGGTAACTTCAGACAATTACTGCTTTTGAATCTTTTACTGGGTTGCTCTGAAACTTTTATTCCAAGATAGTCAGGGCTCAAGAAAGGGACATAGAAGCAATGATAAACCCTCAGAGGAGATCTCATCACTGGGGGTAGAAAAGGGATACTAGAGCATGCAAAATCAGGGAGGAATGGTGGTGGGAAATAGCACTCACAAGATTGATGGAGGAAGGTCATTGGCTAATAAAGGCACTGCCCTGGCCCATTTTATTGGTTAGAGGATAGGTGGGAGGAGAAAACAGGACAGAACACTGGGAGGAAGAGGAAGTGAGGTCAGAGACTCGACCGCTTTCCTCGCGGGAGCAGACGCCTGAGAGAGACGCCATGCCCTGCTCCCGGGATGAAGCTCGGACCCAGGATGGACTAGGCTAGAATCTCCCCGGTAAGCGCACCTTGGGGTGCTACACACAGATGATTAGGAATGGGCTAAATTAATATGTGAGAATTAGCCTAGAAGAGAATGGGCCAAGCAGTGATTAAAAGAATACAGTTTGTGTGTTGTTATTTCGGAGCATAAGCTAGCCATGTGGGCGGCCGGGTGTGGGGGACGCAGCCCTGCCGCCCCATACTACTACAGGTTGGCGCCCAGACGTGTGGACAACTAAACCCACTTAAAAAACCTGAGAAGGCTTAAAAATAAGGGAAAGAGAGTTTAACACAGATTTTTGCTGTTTGTTGGTGGCGTGCTGTAGAGAGATTTCCTGATTCGGCAACAGTAGCAGAAAAACCACTGTGTCATTTTAAAGTGCAACTTCCTGGGGCTGTGCCGCCATTGCGATCTCTGTCTGGCTCCTGCGGGAGACAGAGCTTTTGAATAGAGCATTTGGAGTAAAGTGCTACGATTTGTTTGATGGCAACTAGACTCGCTGTGTTCTCGGGTCTGCTCTGCTTGCTAGAGGCAAGCAGGCGCCTCATCTAAGAGAGGCTTCCTGACTCAGCTTTAGCTGCAAAAGCCTACAGCTCATTAAGAGGTCCTGCCAAGAAACACTTAAACGGTTAAAGCTGAAAGCATGCTTTTCGGTTTTCAGCCATAGCAGGAAAAAAGCTGCGCCGTTTAAAAATGCCGGCTTTCTGGGCTGTCCTGCCAGGACAAACTCTGACTCTTTTACGCAGGCGTTTTTCAAGCACAGGCTGTTGAAGCTCGCTTGCTGGCTACAGCCAGTACCTCCGCCATGAGGCTGGAAAGCTAAGGAATGGACTGGATCTAGCTGGCAAAGCCACGCCTTTAGTCCTACTGATATTGCTTGGTAAATTAAAGACTCATGTGGTCAGAAAAACAGAGAGAGATACAGTAAAGAGAGATTCAAAGACAAAGAAAATTTTTAAATGGTTTACAGTGTGTTAAAAATATACGCAGACTAAAAGTTGAAGTTCTTAAAGTAAAAAACAAAAAAAGGAAGAGAGTTGTTGTGTGTGGTAGCACACGCCTTTAATCCCAGTGCCTAGAAGGCAGAGACAAACAGATCTCTGTGAGTTCAAGGTGTAGTAGTGTACACCTTTAATCCTGAATGCCTGGGAGGCAGAGACGGGCGAATCTCTGAGAGTTCAAAGCCTGGTTTACAGAGTTACTTCAGGTCAAAGATACAGAGAACCTGTCTCAAAAAGCAAAAAGTTAAAAGTAAAAATAAACAAAATAGAGGTTAAAACAAAGCTGCACAAAGATGGAAAATACACAGAGAATTTTGATACTGTATGCTATTATGCTCTCTTTGAATTGTTTAAATGCTGAGGAAGGAGAAACAGATGCTAAAAGATATTTATTTATAAATACTGCTGAACTAATCCAACATAGATATTATGAATTTGGATCTAAGGATATGATACTTTGGAAAGGAGTTTCTTATTTTGTTTTCACAGAGGATGAGACGCTGTTCATTTCTTCTATTCCGATTTGGTATGATGGACCACGTCCTCCTGAATGGTTCCTGTGCACGCCTTCAGAAAATTGCTTCACTCAACTGCCAACTGAGATGAAACTAGCACACAGGTTATACCATGAAAGACCTAATTAATGACGCCCCCATTCAGCAGGAAGCAGTTTGGAGAGAAATAACTGCGCCCATATTCCCAAAAAATGTTTATAAATGTTCTTTTACATTTAAAGGGGGATATGATATAGGTATGAATAATTTGCATTAGTATAGATTTTGCTTTATTAACAGAGATTTAAGGTCAATTTTGTTATATGTATAAGTGTTTCTGATTTTGATTAAGGTATTGTGATTGTGTAGTTCATTTAAATATGTACTGTATAATTAAGAAATATAGGTTGTTAATAGATGATCATCGATAATAGTAAAGCTTGTAGTCATGTTAGTTAGATTTTCTAGATATATAGAGATATATTTTAGATAGACATTCTTCATGTCTTTCAAAGATTACAGAATAGGACATTTAATGTTTTAATAATTGAGGACTTTTCATGACAATGAGACACGTCTGCTCCTGGCAGCACCAATCTACTTCAAGAGGAAGATGGGCATCGAAGAGGCACCTTATGGAGTTTGATAGCCATTTGGGCAAGAAACTGCTCTTGCCTGGACTATTGCATAAACTGGACACAGAGAACCCGCAGAGAGAGGACTACTGAACTTGCCTAAGGTGAGATGATCTTTCGGGGTTCCTGATTCATTTTGAAAGAGTCTGTGAGACATTCTGCAGGACACAACAGATAGTGACTGAACTGACTTTGAATTTTCCT